TTTCGGGGCACAAACTCGAAGTAGTTTAGTTTACTAGGGTCAGATGATCCTCCTTATCCACTCTATTTCAAACTTGGTCCCCAGTGATAGGCGCCAAAGTCGTTCTAAACATTACGAACTTCGCCGCGCAATTTGCCGCGCGCATCCTCGGACGCACGTTCGTACACATACCCGGTCATCATCACAGGACGTTATAAAAAAATAAAAATCACAACAATATCTGCAACGAGCGATGAGAAAAAGGAGCATGATTATTATCTCAAATAGTCATCCCGCAGCATGAGTCATCAATTCGAGCTATTGATCGGGTGATATCGTAGACTGGTGCCGTAGACGGCACCGGTGTGCAGTCCACGGCACCGAGGGTGCCGTCCACTGCACTCAGGTGTCGTGGACGGCACCTAGTATGAGTGCGCCCTCTGACGAGGCTGGCAGTATTCAACTGACCATATTGACCATGACGTGATGGATCACAATTAGCGCTTCCGAGACTCAACGAAAACGTGGTTGATGGTTGTGCAAGGAAAAAACTGCACAACATCCCTCTGAAACCTGTACTCCCCAGTTTGAAGAGTAGCCATCCAGATTAAAAAGGACCGCTCAACTAAGCCTTTCTTCTCACTTCAAAAGGCCATTTTATAAAAATGACATGATGATATTATTAAATGTGCAATGAATGCTCATGCATTATTGTTGAATGGTAAACTCGATACAAACATGCAAATAAAGAATATATTATCATACCACCAGGCGGCCGCACGCTATTCCGTGCGCTGGGGGCTCTAGCCATGAGGAACGGAGCCACGTGATCTTCTGATTTTCATTATAGACCTTTATCATCTGGGCCTTTTCCCTGAAACTTCTGTAGCGGCCATCATTTCTTTGGGATGTGAAATGGGGCTGTGTGTGGCTATAAAGAGTACTCGGATGTACCCAAATCAAATACCTCTGCAGTCGATGTAGTCGAAGAAGCTCTGTGTAGTTTGGGCTATGTGTCGCCATGAACACTAGCTTTGAAAGGACAGCAATTTCGGGTAGTTGTAGGGATTTACACGTCTCTACAGGGTGCACCTGTGTGGCCGAGGATATTGTAGAATTTATTTTATGAGGTCTGAAGTTAATGTAGTGTCTTTGCTTTTGTGTAGAACGGACTACTGTGTGTGGAACCATGATACTAACGTTTAGAAAATTTTTAGCCTAATTTTTGAAAGAGTTTAGTGGTATCCCCTAGTAGTACACCTATGTGGTCAGAGTTAGTGTGAAGGACAGATGTATAAATTTTTGATCACAGCCCCGCCTCCCTCTTCGCAAACCCCACCCACTTCAGACTTTGAACCACATTACTTTTATTACTTTCACACATCTTTTCCCGCGTTCTAAAACGCATCTGAAAAGACTTAATAATTTTGATGTAAGCCCACTTCGGTCCCAATCCCGCCCACTTGTGGAATCTGATCACATTTGTTCTACTACATCTTACCACTTTTCTCGCATCCCACAACGTTTCTAAATAGAGTTATAAATTTTTGATCTGAGCCCCGCCCACTTTAGTACCAACTCCTCCCTTTTCTGGGATTGACCATATTTGTTCTTTTACATCTTAACACCTTTTTGCCACATCCCAGAACGTTTTTGAACAGAGTTATAAATTTTTTGTCTAAGCTCCGCCCACTTCGGTGCCAACCCCGCCCACTTCGAGGATTCGGCCACATTTGTCCCATTACCTCTAACCACTTTTTTCCCGCATTCTAGAGCGTTTCCAAGCGAGTTGCATTTATTTTTTGAAAAATGGCTTTCGTCTCAACGCACGCCCCGCCCATCGTGGGCGGGGCTCAGCTGAGCTTACGGATGTCCAGCAGCATAAGGCCCTGCTCGCTCCTTTTATTTTTTCCCTAGCCTCTGCGCCTCAATTGAACCGAAATCTGAATACATCTGAGAAGTGCCGCCCATTTTGAGAAAGCTCCGCCTCCAACTGATTTGTTGACCCAATCCTCACCTTTGCTCATTTTTTCCCGGTGTCTGGACTTTTTCGAGTCCAAAATAGGATGTTTAGCTCTTGGCACCACCAATTCCGGCACTCGCCCGCCCCCCGTGGGCGGAGCCCCGCGGAGCTCGCGTGTGCTCCGTTCATCCTTTCTCAGGTTCCTTCCATCCCAAACTTTTCCCAACCTCCAAAGGTGTTTGCTCCAGTGAAACCGAATTGCGTGACACACATACATACATACAGTAACACTCAAAAGTCCGGTGAAATGCTTCTTCAGTCATACTTTTCACTCGTAACTCCTTTCCTACTGGATCTAATCAGCGAAATTTCGATATGTGTAGCATGGGTGTATTGTGAATATTTACTACTATTAACCTGCAATCTGTTCATGTTCCAGATATCGCAAAGGGCTTGGACTCAAAATCAACTAGAAATATAATAGGAATGCTGTTCCTTCTGAAATTTCTTTCCTTTCCGTCACGTCTCAAGTGTACGAGCGCTATTGCTGAATACATACATACATACATACATACATACATACATACATAC